AAAGAAAAATTTTTTTCATGCCCTTATTATCACTGGGCTACAAACCATCCCTGCTGTTGCATTTATTGCTCATTTAAAGATGCTTAATTCAATACAGGTAATCATTTCCTAGTGGGAATTTTCAGGAGAAAAAAAAAGCCTTAATATTATATGAAACAGAATTCTAACTAGTTAGGAGTGTTCTTAAAATATTGTATCTATATCTGAGACGCATATAAACCCAATCCAAAAGAGTGAGAAAATACCTAGCAGAGATCTTGTAATTTTAAAAATATATATTCTCAAACACTGAAATTCAGCCTTCTCCATAACTCAACTGGGAAGGAGATTTAGTAAAAAGTATTGAAGTTTCCCTGCTTATCTGTTTAAGTCCAAACAGCTCTATAGATAAGCAATGTCACAAATTGCAAGATGTAACTCTGGATTTTTAAATTGGTATAGCAATCAAATTAAAAAAAAAAAAAAAACAAAAAAACCCCCGAAAACACAAAAACACTTGACAATTATTCCTTCACTACAAATATGTAATGCTCCCCCACATACACACATTTAAAATGCATCTGACTTTACCAGCTACCTTCTATTCTCTTTCCATTCAAGGGAGATTCTAGGATTTTATTTGTCACGTATGTAATATGCTCATGGGATTCTTGAAGAAAAAGCTAGTTTCATTTGAACCTGAATGGTCTTCCATAATGATTTTGTAATAAGTTTTTCAGTTGCATATAATGTGTATTCAGATTCACACTCTTTGGCACAGAGCTTTTAAACTATACAACAATAATGCTGTAGTTTCTAAGAATTACTTTTCAGTAGGCTATTGATCCACATGGAATGATGACTAGGACCAAAAAATAGAGCATTAGTTCCTAAGCTAGTACAAAAGCTGACATGCCACCCCTACTTTTTTGGCCACTCATGCAGAAATGGAGACTTTGTTTAGTAAAGGTGTTTTTCAATGTCTTTTTGTTTCAGCCTCACTCCTAACAAGTTTTATGACAACTATAAGTACAACAGAATATATACACGTGAATAAATTGAAAGAGGCACCGTGACAGGAGAAGTTAAAAAAAAAATGTCTGTCCTATTATATAACTTACTTTTATTCAATATTTGAACAAGGCTAAACTGTACAAGTTTGTACATTTTGCACAGAAGAACTGTTAACTAGCTTTATAAAAAAAAGAACAAAATACACAGAAGTATTACTTAAATTTGTGGTCCCCATTTCAAATCGTCAATGCCAGTTAAACACAAGTCAAAGACCTTGACAGGTTAAAAAAAAGTTTCCCAAAGAAAAACAAGAATTCAAATATAGATGATGATGTGACCCTTCTGACAATGTGACCTGTACCAAGTTTTCATCCATAGTAATGTCAAACCAAAATGTTTAAACAATTCTGCCGTATAAAAACACGAAGTTACAAACAGTCATCTTAGGAAAAGATTAAAAAAAATCTAAAAAATGCAAAGTTAAATAAGATACAAGTAGAGCCAAGATAGGCATTGATGTTGCAAACACTTTGGAATATGCTTGACTTTGTGTACAGATGTAGAGTTAAGCAGGTATAAACGAAGTATTACAGCATCAGGATCTTATAAGGAAATACAGGTAACTCTTTAAATATGACTCTTTATATTCAGAGTCTCATATATGTATGAGAAATCATTAGTTCTCTACCCACTGGCACAGCTTTTTAAGTAATTATGACATGTTTTGAAATGCAATTTACATTGTTTCTAGTGAAGTAAACAAGGCAATTCATGGACACAAGCAATATTAAAAAGAACTAACACTTTGAAAAGAAGTCATGAGAATTAAAGGGAGGTTTATAATACCACAGAGACATCATTATCATTAGCTTTTGGAAGACGCAACATCTCACTCTGCTTAAGTTTCTTAGCTTTTATTGGTTTACATAACTGTGATAGTCTTTTTCTTTTTTTTTTTACTTAATCCAGTGTCTTTAAAAAAAATTGACAAAAACTTGTTGCAGCTATATTTAAATTAATAGATTGAAATTCATCTGAAAGCAAAACTAAAATTCCTAGGCTAAAGTATTCAGATGGGCTCAGATTTGGTTTGTGGACATGAACACAAGAAAATAAATGTTTTAGTAGCTTTTTTGGCACTTATATGCAAAAAGCTGTAAGGAGGTTAAGTACATCCTCTCCCCTCCAGTAAAACAGCTAAAGTGACCAGTCCACAATGAAACTGTACAAGGCAGTAATTCACATTTAAAGAGCAAACCTGACTGCAGTTATGAGCACAACAAACCCTCATAACTTAAAAATCCTATTTTTATTTAGTTCGAAAAATTATACTGATTTTTACTCTAAATACATTCATTCCCAGCCTACATTTTACAATAAACTCACGATTCTCAAACACACGCACAACCAAGTTATAAATCCCTGAAATATGGATTTATTATAGGAATACTGATAAAAGCTTAACAGAGATACAAATTATGCTTTACAAAGTGTCTACCTTCACATTTACTATCTGAACATCTGATCATTGGCAGATGCATCACTCCCACTGTTATACACCAATACCACCTTCTCAGATCAAGTTGTTTAAAACAGAATTCACAACAGTACCTAGTTACTTAAAAGCATATTCCCTCCCCTGTCCCCACTTCACAATGTTTAACATCTAACTTGTAGTCCAACACTTGGAGGGAGGAAAGAGGTGAAGAAGGGCGGGGGAAAAAAAGTTATTTTTTCCCAGCCCAAACTTGTCATTACAGGAAAGTTCAACAATTTATTTCATGCATGTCTTTGCAATATTTAGTGCATCTACACAATACAGATTTTACGTAATTATTTGGTGCTTCCTCATCCCATGTACCTTACGACCCTGCCTTTACCAGTGGATCCTTAGACTCCTGAAATAACTCACAGGGGCTGGTGCTGCTTCTCTGTAGGAAATGCAGGACAATTTTCAACTAAAAGGCACTCAGTTGTGGGTGCAAGTACCAGCAAAGCAAATGCAAAACTTGTGACTTTCATAAACTGGGAGAAACGGTTGTAAACTGTATCAGATTTACTGGACTGAAGTTAAGAACTTTCTCCCAAGGCCTGAAAAAAGTGTTTAAATCAGCTATACAGTTTATGCATGTGCACACAGATGCATGTGCACACAGATAGCCAATATAGGTTTACCCTATTCTTCTATAGTTCTAAGAGGAAAAAGTGTAAGTCTACAGTATAAAGTGACTCTTGTAAAACTTTTTCTGGGACAGCACTGACTGTCAATGTTTCTGCACTCTGAACAGTAATTAAATCTGAGGAGTAGTAGAAGTTCTTTCTTTAAGAATAAGAACATGAACACACACTATTACTTATTTTTTCTACTGAAAAAAAACAGTTACTGAACTTAAGAATAAAGCTTTCCTCAAGCATGGATCTTCCTTGTCTTTGTTAGGCTGGAAAAGTGTTGTGCAAAACAGAATCGCTTCCCTGAGGCAAAGCTCTTCAAGTCATGCCTGGCTTAGTCCTTTTCACAGAGATCACACTATATTTTTCATTCTGTGTTTGAAGCTTTTGGCACAAAGGGACCTTGAAATCACTCTCTGCAGTTTCCTGATGTTACTGGTTTAGAGTAATAAAATACAACAGGGTAGGGATCACAAATGTTTCACTCTCACTCATTCTGGGCTTCCACATTAACTCATTAAATTCTTCTTCCTCATCAATAACATTAGAACTTCAGTCTAGCGTCTGTCTTCATTAAGGAGTAGTATCAGCCTCCCCAAGATTTAAAATGTTGCCAGCTGGTCTCAGATTCCAAAATAAGGCAACAGAAAACAGCCCTTGGGTTCAGTAAAGGTTTAACCAGGTGAAACTGAAGTCCTATGATATACAGGTCACACTAGGTGATCTACTGATCCCTTCTGGTCCTATGAAAAACCTGCAGGGAGCAGATGTTGACGAGGATCACCGTGCTTCTATTCTAACGTACATAAACAGCAAAAGCCTTGGAGGCAAGTCACTTGGTCTTTCTAGTTTTCCTCTTAAAAAACAAATTGAACTTTTTCACTTAAAGCAATCCATAAGCAAAGCTATAGTATTTGCAGCCACCTAGGCATACTAGACAAGTTAATGTTGGTACTCTTTGACATACAGGCAGCTGTTTTCTCAACTACATACTGCATGAAGCCATATTCCATGCTATTTTCTACTTAACGTGGACATGCCGTTAAATGACAAAGCCCTGAGTGGGTACTGGAGAAACAGATTTTAAAGCTGTTGTCTCCACTTAGAACTGAAAGCTGTGGCACACACTATGACCCAGCACTAGTATGCAAGCCACTAACTAAGGCTCAAGGTCAACCATTCTTAACTTGTGTAGCACAAGACAATCATACCATCAACAAGCTAAAAGACCAGTTAAGCATGTCTTTAAAAGTTCCAGAATTTAAAACAAAAAACAAAACAAACCCCCCCCCAACTCCCTCATAGGCAAGGGCACTTTTAAGAAAGATACTCTTAAACTTTTGGTTTTTAAAAATAGACACCACACTCACATTCAAGGGACATCCTTCACTTTTAGGCCGTTGTCACAAATCTGATTCTTTATTTTTCTGAAATAAACACTATTAACATAAGACTCAAAAACAAAAACTCCAACTTTCAGTCTTAGAAGAGGTGTGGTTCAATGCCCATATCACATGTAACAAGAAAACTTCCTTAAGAAAAGGAAAAAAAATATTGTAAAGTCTTTCATAAGGATGAAAATACAACCCTTATATTCTTCTCATTAGTTTGTATAGAAGTGGGCATCAAAAAAATCCTGCTTTTCTCCCCCCTGGAGTTGTTCGTGCTATGATGCTTGACGAACTTTTTGCCATTCAACAAATTCATCCAGGAGAACAGGCCCTAGAAATAGCAGAAGTTCAGAGTTTTATGTTTGCAATGCCTTAAAAAAAAGGGAGGGGGAAGGAGGACAGGGGGCTATAAACAATAGAAACATTTAGTCTGGAGAGTTTAGTATTAATCCTTAGGAAGGAGTCTATCAAAATTAAAAATCATACCACACCAAAAAGCCAAAGAATAGAGTTATTTAGGGCTGGGATGAAGTTTAAAGCATTTGACAGAGTAGGTACTATGAAAGTAGAAAGAAGATATTAAATTAACATCTTAATAAAGTTTTACTACAAACAAGAACAAAGAATTCCTTTTTGCTAGACATTTCAAAATTGCATGTAATCACCTATAATGAAACATAACATGAGATGCTATTTGCAATAAAATATAGTATAACTGATTGTATTTTAGTTCTGACTAGTAAAAAGGACACACCACTGCTCCATGGATTGGCAATTGGTTGTTTTATAACTTAACTGGCACCTAGCATTCACTGGCTCAAATGGAGCCTTTTGCCAAACCCATGGTATCATACACAAGCTGAAAGACAGTGAACCAGATCCTAATTTGGTATAAACTGACACAGCCACATCATCACATTAGTAATATTAAATAACTGCTGAGGATCTAGCCTATTCCTGGGTACAGACAGACGTATGATTGCATTAGTAAGTACAAGCTGTTATGATACAACTCTTATTGCTGCAGAATCATGCAGATGTAAGACAAAACTACTGCAATTTTAATACTGCTTCATTTAGGGTCAAAGGACAATTTAGCTAACTTTTATTGCTACAGGATCATTTGGACAGAACAGTTAAATTGTAAAAGCTGGTATACCACATGTAGTAACAGCTCCCCCTCCCCATTTAAAGTGGCCAAAATGTACTTTTGTCAATGTCCCCTTAAGTATAACTCAATATTTTAAATAAAACTTAATGTGGCATTTCCTGGAACTTTGTTTCTACTACTTTGAGAACTGGCAATATAGAAACTATACTTCAATCAATTGTTACAAATACTTACATGCACCATCTTCGTCATAGTTGCTAAGATCTGCATGGACAGTCCTGCTGAATTCTAACACATTGTACCACTGATCTTTGTTCATAACTCTATACTTTGATTGCTAGGGAAAATAAAATATTTTGAATACATATTAAACAAACAGGGGCTATATAATATAATCTCCCTTTCATATATGTGTGTGTGTGTGTGTATATTTTTTCTAATATTCCTTGACAAATTCATTATTGGAGACTGGCACACAATTTCGTCAGTTTACAAGATATCCATCAGTTTGGCATCTAAAGACATATGACACCAGCTAAACACCAATGATAAAAGAATGGTGAGGACATATTCCACGCAAAGTGGTAACCAAAGGGATTTATTTGAGGGAAAAAAAAAAAAAAAATCAAGTTGGTAAATAGCCTGAAGATGACAAAATAGACAGGAAATCTAGTGCCTGTTATTGGGAAGCTTGGACAAGAGATGAGAGTTACATTTTGGCATAAGTGTAATCAGGCTTATACTCATCTGAGTTTCTAACAGGAACTGTTTCCACAAATGTGAACTTGCCTTCACTCCAATGTATGATTTAAAGTAGATGTGCAAAGATATTCACTCTGGGACATGAAATGACCTACGAAGGTGGCATGGCCCCTAATTCTGAATTTACCTTTCTATTCTGAGAAGTAAGACATTTCAGCTACTTATCCAACAGCTCCCTTTGACTCAGAAGGGTGGTAGGAATGAGGTGGGAAAAAAAAACCTTCTGTGAAACATACAGAAGTTATTACTATTTCATAAATGTGCCAACCGAGGGAAAAATGGAAAAGCAATAGAGCTGTATCCACAAACAAAGGAGCACAACCTGCAACTTCTCTTTATAGCAACTCACTGCACTGGTACCACTGAAAAAGAAGTGTATTTAAGTATTTAGTAAAAGCACATACCTCCAAGTATTGGTAAAATACTGAAAACAGTGGCCAAGTTCTTCCAAGCAAAAGAGCTAACATAGATTTTGCAGTGTCAATATCAAGACTTCGTTGGTCTTTATCCTAAAATTAAAAATAAAGAAGTAGTACTCAAAATACCTGACCTCACACAGCTTGCTATCATATTTTGTTTCTTGTAAATGATTTAAACAGACTTACCCTTGCAAAATCAAAGGCATATCTGTAGATATTCTTAAAGGAAGAAAAGTCATTCAGTTGTGACCGCAAAAAGTCAAATTTACTTTGCAACTTTTCTGTGCTGTCACACCTTAAATAAACAACAACATGAATTTCAGAAGAGCAAATAAAAAAGGAGGAAAGACTGTAGGGTATGTACAATTAAGAGTTTACATTT